TCCCTCTTCCCCCCCCCTCTCTCTCTGTCTCTCTCTCGCTTTCTCCCTCCCTCCCTCATATCAATTTATAGACCTAAGACTATTACTTTTCTGTTCCATGTAATGCTATTGTTGTCACCCATCTGCACAAAAAACAGATTATGACATTTATTAATTCTAATATGGAATATTTTTGTGTGACTTTATCATTATCGGCACTTCACAGCTGAAACCAGACATCCCCTTACCCAGCCCCAACGTGTTGAAGCGGAAGATCATCGTGAAAAACAAGAAGAAACATTTTCACCGAGGTAAGTGGTCTCCTGCGGCCCGCCGGGCTCGGTTGGCGGTGGTGTTGTGGATGAGCTTCTTGTTGCTCGTTTCTCTGGTGTACCGGTTTGTCCATTCTTGTTGTCGTTGGTGTTTGTGACTTTTCGCTCCCCAGCGTATGTTTGTGACTCTGTGGTGATGAATGTTTTGCCCACTCTCTGCATTTTGTGCCTGTCGCAGCCAGCTCAAGGCTGCCCCCCCCCCAACTCCACCCCCTCACATTTTCTCTCCACCCTTTCTATTGTACTGTGCTGAGCAGCTCGAAATGACTGGTTTGTGTTGGATAGACTAGAATTTTATGGCTGTCAACTCGTTTCAGGTCACTTGACTACAACAGAATGTAAGAATATATATATATATATATATATATATATATGTATGTGTGTGTGTATATACAATATTTGTGATTAGAAAGAGAAGTTTCTGGTATATGTTAATTTTTTACCCTTGAATTCACATCTTAATACTTTTAAGACTGTTGCTAAGAGACGTGGACATTTTTTTCTGCCCAAAGTGATATTGTTTTTATTTTATAAAATTCATTGTTTTACAAAAAAGTACACAAAAGGGGCGTTTCTCATTCCACAAAATTTGTTCGAAGTCTCGATAAATTGGAGATGTTTTTTCCCCCCTCCCAAACCGAAGAAGGTGGTAGCATATCTGACTGAACTCAGTATTTAGTAATGTATGCAGGGCAGAGAAAAGAAAGGGAAGTAAACATGTGCTTATTAAGCTGTGGTGTGGTCGTTATGATTGTGGTCAATAATGAACATGCTCCTACATGGTCGCCAGTGGCTTTGGTGCACTAAGTGTCTGCGCTGTGTCAAACTGTCATCTCAAATGTCGAAGCACCGAGGTGAGCAGAGGGGCGGCTCGTGCCTCTTGTTTCAAGTTCTGCACCTTTTGTGATAGGACCGTGACACAGTTCTCTCCTCCTGCACGTAGAGGACTCGGCGCTAAGGCTCATCACTGTGCTTTTGTGTAGATGTGTTCTTTGCACTTGTGTTGTCATGTGATGGATCATAGGTCAATGAGGCACAGGAAACTGGTGGTCTTTTACATCTCCTTCCCTCCCCCCTCCTTCTCTTTTCTATTTCTTTCACCCCCACCCCCCGGCCCCTT